AAAAAAAAAAAAAAAAAAGAGGCATAAAAAGCCCACCATCCTGAGGACACACGGAAGAGCATGAGGCTTACAGCAGCTGAGCACAGACTTCGTCCTGTCCCTTCCTCACTGTGGGGTCTTGGGCAGATGTTTGTGCCTTGAGTCTCATTTTCCTCATCCAGAAAATGGGCATAATAACAACAGTGCCTACTTTCAAGGGCTGTTGAATCAAATGAAGCTGGGAGTGGTAGCACGTGCCTGTAGTCCCAGGTACTCATGGAACTGAGCTAGAAGGATCACTTCAGCCCAGAGTCCAAGACCAGCAGGGGCAACACAGGAAGACCTTATCTCCCCCTGACATTTTTCAAAACAAGTTTTAAAAGGAGAGCATACATCAAGCACTTAGTACCAGATCTGGCCCACTGTGAGTCCTGAATAAATACATAGGTGTAAACTCTTCTTGTTATTTTCCTTAGTGGATTGTTTTTAACAGCGTTATATTATAAACAGAGTATATTTAGACAGCCTGGGTTCCTGTCCAGCCTCAGACACTTACCAGATGTATAACCTTGAGCCAGTTACTTCTGTGAAGTTCAGTCTATAAAATGGGAATGACAGTGGCTCATAAGGCTGTGGTAAAAGAGCTACATAAAAATGACTTATGCAGAAATTTTTGCAGTGCCGGGCACATAGTAAGTACTTAGAAAATGTACGTATTGTATTTAAGTTTGCTGTACTGAAACCAAGTCTTGAAACTTTTCCACCAGATGGTTATACCATAATCTATTCAGCTCCTCCATTCTTGTTAGCAATTGTTCATTAAATAATGCTGCAGTGAACATTTTTCCGTATTGGAGGAGAAAGGAGATTCTGTTTAACCACTGAGACTCTGAGCCAGCATGCGGATACCCACTGGCATTTGAATTTCTAAGAAAACATATTTTTAAATGAAAAACATGTGGGGCTGGGAGATTCTTTCACTCATTCCTAAGCCACCAGCCAGACTGGCAATGCCAGGACCCCTGGGTGTCTGTCTCCAGAGTCGCATAGGGCTTCCGTTCTTAGACTCCCTGAGCCAGTCACCCTCACAGGGACTGTCACAGCCCTCTTGGGGCTTGTCCTAGAGGTAACCTCCACCTTTAAGTCACGGCTTCTGGGTGTGAGACCTTCCTGGTTTCAGGGATGCCCAGCATATTTTGCCCTTGGGTAGTGTCTGAGAAAGGGGACTGATCAGAGGAGCTTCTGAGGGGCCACTGACCCTCTAGGCTCCAGCCAAAAAGATCTAAGCCCCTTCTCCCACCTCAGCAAAGGACAGCCACCTCCTGGCTGCTGCAGCTGCAAACCTTGGAACCATGCTGATTCCTCCTTTCCTAACAGCCTCATCCGCAAACCTTGCTCAGATCAGAGCATGTCCCACAACCCTGCTCCAACTGCCCTGCTCCCAGTTCCCTCCTCTCAACAGCAGTCGCCCCCCCACTGGCTCTGCCACTTGTCCGTTACCAAGGTAACCATGCACCCTAGTCCACTAGGCCTGATGGAGAGCCCAAGGTACTGGACTGTATAGCTAAAACCTGACAAGTCCCAGGTGAACCAGGAGGAGCTGGTCACCTTCCCTTGACCCTCTTGGGACTCTTTAATGCAGCAGCTCAAGTCAGATCACATTACAGCTCTGCCTAAAACCCACTAACGATGTTCCCATTTCAGCAGCTTGAGCTACCAGGGAGCTGGAGCTGCCCCACCGCTCTCCTGCTGCCCTCCCCCTGCCCCCCTCTGCCCACTCTGCTCCAGTCACAGTGGCTCCTTTGCTGCTCACATGCACGCCTGTGGGCCCCTGTAGGGATCGAGCCCCTCTATCCTCTGGTGGAACTGCTCTCCTGCCATCCACAAGGCTGTCTCCCCTCACCACCTCACAACTTACTCAGACGTCACTAGCCTTTCTCTGGCCCACACTCCCTATTTCCCTATTCTATTTTCTTATTTTCTGTAACATTTCTCTCCTGGAATATGAAACAGTTCACTTGTTTACATTTTTTTATTTGCTTCTCCCGGGGTGAAGGAATGCTCCTCTTCTCTGCCTTTTTCCTGAGTGCTAGAATAATGCACGTTACAGAGAAGACTCCCAAACCATTTGGTTTTTGGTGGGGAAGAGTACTGGGGATCAAATCCAGGGCTTTACGTAGTTTACTACTGATACCACTAAGCTGTACCCTCAACCCTCAACCAAAGTTTCTGAAATGAGTCTATGGATCTTTCCTGCCACTTGCTGTCTTTACAAACTGTCTAGCTTTCGTGTACCAAGACCTTAGGCAAGCCAGCGTCCAGTTTTTACTTTCAGTTTTCAGGATCAAGCAGCACCCTTTGTGGTCGTGGTTGCCTGGCTAACTCCTGGTCCCCTGTCCCTCTGCCTTGCTATTTTCAGCAGCATTTTTGGCTTTCTGTGAGCAGCTTGCAGCAGCCCCGAATGAGCAGAATTCACAGCACAAAACAAAGACATCCCAGGGAGCCCGGCCACCCTACCTGCTTCAGCACTGAAGACTTCCCAGAGGGTCAGGAAAATCAGCCACATGAGCAGCCTCATCCCCCAGGCACCCCTCAAGGCAGCCATCCATCCTCCAGAGCAGCCCATTCCCGCCACAGGTTTCCCAAGGAGTTGTTGCAGGCCACGTGCCCAAGCAGAACTTCCTGCTATCTGCGTCTGGCTCCTCTGGCTTTTCTTCCTTTCCCCAGCAGGGTGCGAGCTGGGTTGGGCTGGGAAGAGGTCACCAGTCAGTGGGCGGGTGGGAAGCAGACCTTTGCCCTCTTCAGTACAAGAAGCACCTGTCTTGCCGGGTGCTGCGTGTTAGAAAAAAGAGCTCTTACCTGTTAGAGGTAAGTATGGAAATATGGGCAAAGTGATCTCATCTCTGTAATTTGCTTCCATATAATCCAGCAGAAGACTGGCACATGTAGCTCAATAGTAGAGCACTTATCTGGCATGCATAAGGCCTTGGGTTTGACACCCTGCACCACAAAAAATAAACAAACACAAATAAAAGAAGCCAGTAGGCCTAGGGGTGTTTCAGTCTAACCAGAAAGTGTAATCTCCAGGAAACTTGCCCGACCGCAGCCCCCAAGAGGCAAGAATCATCCACTTTCTGATTTATAGTAAACCATCCCCGAAGACCTGTAGGAAGTGGCTGGCCTTGGCCACGTAAAGAACTTAACTGCTAGGTGGAGTTGCTCAAACACAAATAAACCAAACCTTGGAGTCACTCATTCATGCCAGGAAACCCGTGGCAGGGAGATGGTGAGACCCGGCAACACCTGCCCTCAAGAGGCACAGTGAGCCGCTGGCCTGCAGCTCAGCATGTTGGGTGAGATGAGCCTTACGAAGAAATCTGACTCATCCCGAGGAAGGGAAGAGGCTTCTGGGAGGAGGTGACAGCAGCGCAATCCCCTGTGTGTGCCTGTGCTTATGCATACCTGCATGGTGCTAGAGATCAAACCCAGGGCCTCAGTCACGCTAGGCAAGTACTCTACCACTGACCTCTTAATATTAATGTACAAGGTAGCAAACGGGAGAGCCAGGGACGAGGATGTCCTGGGGAAAAGCAGCACCATCCAAGGAGGCAGAGGTGCAGAAGCCTCCTAGGAGTTCTGTCAGACGGTACTGGGTATGAGGCCCTGAGGCAGGGAAAGAGGCAGGAGCCAGCTGTCCTCGCTTGTGTGAACTCAGAACTGTGGAGGCCATAGAACTGTCTTAATTAGGGGCAGGGCACAAATTCCCACTTTATTTTATTTATTTTTGGGGGGTGTTTTTGAGACAGGGTCTCACTATGTAGTTGAGACTGACCTGGAACTCACTATGTAGCCCAGGCTGGGCTTCAACTCATAGCGATCCTCCTGCCTCAGCCTCCCAAGTGCTGGGATTATAGGTGTGACCACCACTCCCAGTTTATAAATTCCCACTTTAGAAGAATTGCCTGGACTCTATGGAAGATGGTTTTTTTGGGGGAGAACAACAGGGGCCTGAGGAAGAAAAGTTGTCTGAAATAGAAATGTGTTAGCTCCTTTGTGGCAGCTGGGCAGTCTGAGGTCCAGGTGCTGACACGTTTGGTATCTAGCGATGTCATTCCTCTAAAATGATGCTTTACACAGTGCACCCCTTGCTGGTGAGAAAGGCTGACGCCTCACATGGCAGAAGGCCAAGGGCCAAGCACAAAAGGGAACCAAACTTGCCCTTTTAAAAATAAGAGTATTAATCCCATTTTCCAAAGGTTCCACCATGACAACTGAGGTTTTTGGTTTTGTTTCTGTTTTTTGAGACAGGGTCTCACTATGTAGCCCAGGCTGGTCCTGAACTCACAGCAATCCTCCTGCCTCAGCCTCCCTCGAGTGCTGGAATTACAGGCATGCACCATCATGCCTGGCCAGACAACTGAGTTGTTTTTTGTTTTTGTTTTTATTTTCAGAAAACGAGCTTTAATATGAGTTTTGGGTGGGACAAACATTCCCACCCTAGAAGAGTCCTTGAGAAAAGTGGTGAGGGTATACACCAAGGAACTAGTGATAGTAAGGAGGAATTAAACAGCGAGGCAATCACTGGATAGTTTTCTTGCCGTATTTTTTTTCCAGGGCTTGGTTTGAACCCAGGATCTTGTGTGCACGCTAAGCAAGTGCTCTACGGTCACCAGCTAGTGTGGATTCTTAGCCACATGGAAGATGGAAATCAGACCTTACCGATCATCACTGTTCATCCACTGCCCTCGTCAGAACCCTGTAAAGGTCCCTAATCCGGTTTCTAGGCTCTTATCAACTGGCTGTGTAAGACTTGTGTCTCACTTTTACTCCTGGAGCGTGAACAGCCAAGAGGCCTTCACGATGCTGGGCTCAGTAGCTCAGCGAGGCTCCAGGAGCTTGTCCGATAGCGAGAGTCACCCAGGAAGGAACACACCAGGCAAGTTGGCTAATAGACCTTTATTAGTCTGGCCAGACGGCACCTCCTAAGCCAAGTAGCTCAAGAAGGGCGGCTAGCTCAGAAACAGAGGCCATTTTATATAGGGCTGAAG